GCGTCCAAATATTAGCCAATAGCACGGTAATAAAAGGCTGATATTTATTATTAAGCAAAATAGTAAAATGCTGTATATTATTAATATTTGGCTTATCTTTAATATATTATTATCAGATTTCCAAACAAATACATACTTTACATGCAATAAAAGTGACTAAAAGACTATGTATCGTGCGCGCATGCATTCATCAGGTGTGGTGCACGGGAGCAGATAGCGAAATGCCCGTGCAGCCGCGCGCCTTCATTGCACGGTGGCAGTGGTGAGCGCCAAGTGAAGTAAAAAAGATATATTTCGCAAAGTCCCTAGCGCTGGTTGTGAAGCCTACTTTCATATTAAAAATACTATCGTCTCTACTTTAAAAAGTCTGTGGAAAATAGCATCGCCGAGCCCTCACAAATGCAGCCTGTGAAGCTTATAGTAATCATATTAGTACTATTAATATCGTCTTTACTTTGAAAAGTGTGTGGAAAATAACATCCCAGAGCTCTTACAAAATACTGGTCTGTGAAGTCTACATTAATAATAATAGATATCTCTATATGAGAAGTGTGCAGAGCTCTTAGAAAATAAAGTAGTTACTGTGCCCGATTTGCACAGGTTTTGCGTCAATAATCAAGTAGCTCGCCTGGCTGTTTGCAACCAATCGATGCGTTTCGTGCTCGGCAGAAATGTTTACCTTACGTCCAATCGCGAGGGCGAGAGACGGTCTGATCGTGCGACAGATCCAGTCAGTGTCGCAGGTCGGCAGGTATTGCCCAATCAGGGCGCGAGTTAATTGTGTCACGCTTTTGCTATAATTGTAATTTTGGCATAGTTAGGTCGAGTCAGAAAGATAGACGCGGTCGGTAGGATGGGAGGAAACTGTATTAGAAAGGCCGAGTGTAGCCATGCGAAAAGGCAGGTCAAAGCAGGAAGACAGGGAGTGCGACGGACGGATTGACAGACGGACAGACAGACCGACACGCTACAAGGTTCGGTTGTTTAGGCTACGATAAAACTTGGTCGAAGTCCTATACCTGCTAACTCCACGTTTCGGCTGTACTTCGAATTAGTGGCTCATATATTTAAGAAACGCTTTAGCTTCTGCTGCTTCGCGTTTCACCTGTGAGGCATCGAGTCACACTAGCTCAAGCAGTGTACATGCGCTTTCATCGACCAGTATGAACTGCCTTGCAGGCATCTCATAGCTGCTCTCCAAAGTCGTGGGGTCTTAGAAACTGTTTTCGCATACTTCAGCGAGGTACACACGGTGCAAACGTATGCTAAGGCTGTCATGGGTGTTGCTGTGTATTTTACACTGGGCCAAGACATCAAGTAAGACAATGTGACGAAGTCATCGCTTCCTGCTGTCCTCAGGACAATCATCGTCAGGCGCAGCTAGTACTGCAACAGCAGCACTTCCACCACTGCAGTGGACATTGGTACGGTGATGACATCCTACTCGAGCTGCTTGGACGCGAACAGCAAATTGATACCTTTACGCAAAATAAATCCTTCCCCAGTATCACGGGTACATCAGAGATGAAACCACACGAAAGTCATGTAACATTGCGCGACTAGACGAGAACACCGGTTATGCAATCTGCATCGACGCTACATGCGCTGTCCGGCCAGCACTCTTGTTCGCTTGGCGGTATGTCGCCTCGTTGCGCGTGAGAGTCACCAAGTGTTTGACCTTGTTCACAACTGTATCGTCTACAGTAGATGACGAGCAACCAGTGTCGATCAGCGCACGAAAGCGGCGTGTACCAGCCAGTACTTCAGTCTCCATTACTGGCTTTGACCTCGTGGTACTAGCTTGCACCGGGCGGCCAACATGCAAATGTACCTTCTCGTCCTCCACCACACGCGTCGACGCTGACACGGGGTCTGCTATGGTGAATATACTCATCTCTTCTGCTCGGTAGAACCTCACCGCGTTGAATTCATCTTCCTGTCGCTACTTCATGGCCTCCATCATTGCAGCCATCGCGGCACCTGGTCTTTCATGGCAGCTAACGCATTGCCCCCTTGCTGACCTGCATGGCCTCCTCGGGGCTTGTAAGAAGCCGACTTCGGGTTGCGATAGCACTCAGTGCCGAGATGCACATTCTTGCTGCAGAATGTGCATTGCTTCATGTTGGGTCGAGTGGAGTTCCTATAGCTTCGAACAGGTGGCTGTGGGCCCTGCCGGTGTCCTCCGGCGGGCTTCTTAGGCTTGTCATGATGTTTCTGTCGGCGTTGAGCTGGCCGACAACCACGCAGCAGCTCTGCCTCCTTCTTGTTGCGCTCGATCGCCTCAAAATGGGTCTCCATACTCGAGAGATCCTAAGTCCTGGTATGGCGATTCAGCTCCAGTTGCCAATCGGTCGGCATACCGGTCTTTAACCCCTCAGTTACCAGAAGATCCGTGTTGGAACCGCCTATTTTACGTCGTAAGTTACGACTTTATTTTAGTATATTTATTTGTATGGATGTGTCTTTTCCACACTGGATTCCCGCTATAAACTGTCAGAGGATATTCTGAGCTACGTCGTATGAGTTACGACATTATGAGCACGTCGTATCACGAAAAGCAATAACTTACGACGTTCAAGTATTGTTTTTGTCGAAGCAGATGCCTATTTACACATCCGTAGAGATCCTCGTACAACAGAGAAAGAGCTACATTTACATAAACTAAGTGCTGTCCAAACGCATTCAAACGATTGCCGATTGCTGAGCTGGCTGATCCTCTTCATTGTCGGCCTCGCCGTCTTGTTGACAGAGCAGCTCACGCCGAGTTGGTTTTCGAGTACCAGCCTTGGCTGATCGTCGCAAGACGACTCGCTTGCCGAGCGATGCTGGGATGGAAGCCCCACTGTCAAAGTCTTCGTGCCAAATCTGATAGCATGTTTTGCGCACGCCTCCGTAGCTATGGCGCGACTTGGGGCAGAGGAAGCACTTTGCGTCTGCGTGTGAGCAATCCTCACAATAATAGGTCGTTTGAAAGGATTTTTTTGGATCGCCTCGTAGAAGAGCGCATACTTTGCAAGAGCGTTGCCGGCGCTTTTGGGTGCCTGAAACGGTGACCCAGTCGTCGAACTGGATGTGTTTGTGACCGTCTAGTCGGCGGCGGTGCGAGAGCGAGCCATAGGAGAAGGTGTAGGAGCAGTAGCTTCAATGAAGTCGTCGGCTTTGAGTTGCATCAATTGCTTATGAAGTAGAAGATACCATTCTCCACGATCTTTTGGTACCAGCCTCTTGATCCGGCATGTTTCCTTGTGTGTGAGATACGCATTGACGAGTGCCATGTCCATGAAACCCATGAACAGTGACTTGTAATACTTCCCTGAAAACGGGAAAGCCCGTTTTGGATTTGAATAGGACCTGCAGGCGAAAGTTTGATCATGTACATCAACTTCCGCCCAATCCAAGCGGTGGGTAATCAGTAAACTAAACTTTTGGCCATTTTGAACGCAAGAACGGCCCGGAACCATTCTTGGAACGGTAACGACGGAATAGAGTTCCTTCTGCCATGACCGGAACCCGGTGGCCCAGGTAGGTGGAACCGGCCTTTCGGTTCCCACCAGTTGCCAAGCTATCATGGTCGGTATAGCAGTGGAGCGAAGAGAACGCAAATGTACCACGCTCAATCGCTCGAGGACGTGTTTTACATTTCTCAATAACTTGCTTGTCGAACCCCAGTCTGTTGATCATGATCGTTCCCACCACGTAGATACCCATCGATAGAAGCTGAATAGCCAGTGGGATAGACGAGTAAAATCGATCGATCACTACAATCGAAACCCTTGTGATCGATCTCTCAGAACGGCTTTCATGTTTCGAATAACTGCAGCAGCCCCCGTCTTGTCGTCGACTG